GCCTTATTTTCTCTGAGGTGTAGGTTTTATAGTTAGCTGTGGCTGCAAATAACAATACAGTTAATACTTGATGCTTCTCTGAGTATCATTATTGTCTGTGATGGACAGAAGTGCTGGCCAGCACCCAGTGACTCAAGGGTTAAACTCAGATAGCTAGAAAGGGTGTTGGCAGGGAACCAGAACCACCACTGGAATATAGTGCTGAAATTTGAATTGTATAAAATACCTTGCCTGCTTTCTTTGTTTGGAGAAGTTAAGACAGGAGCTGAGAGACATAGAATGATTTAAACCCAGGCAGGATTACCCTGCCTCCAAGGAATTCAGGGCATGTAAGGGATTGTGAGTAAATAAAGGAAATGTGTAGTTAGTTATGATTAGAGTATTTTTCTGTATTTGTGTGGTTTGGTTTGAAATGCTCTGTGTGAATCCATGCCTCCCCTCCCCCATTCACTATCTAAGAGTTGTTCTGAAAGATTTTCTCTGTGTTTTAATTTGTTTTACTTAGTTACTCTGTAACACCTAGCAATCAAGTGTGCTTTATCATGTATATCTTTTCTTTTGTTAAAAAAATCACTTTTTTAAGGTGACAATTTGATTCGTGTGTTCTGGAAAGAAATAGGGCCTGCATGTGTGTGTGTCTGCCTACCTAAGATGAGCTGTCAGTGACCAGGGATTGCAGCTTGTTTTTCTCTCTCCTTTTTTTCAAGCTCTTTTGGGGCAAAAGAGCTTGAGGGTATCCTGGGGAAGGAATTAAAGTGTTACCTCCTTTTTTTTTCAGTGTTAAATCACTTGATGGTGACAGCTTTTGTTTATTTTTCAGATCCAGTGTATCTGTGATTCTGGGGAGGGGTTGTAAGCAGAGCCTAGAGGCAAAGGGATTTCAGGTCTTTGAGAGCCCCCACCTTCTGCACTCGGAGGGCCAGAGTGGGGAATAGCCCTGACATTGTCCAATTGATATTCAATTGAGAAACCCATTGGTTGTGGAGACTTCATACCCCTTTGAGTTCTTGCAGTCAGCTATATCCCAAAGTTATGATTGACATGACCCAGCAAACACATATGTAGTTCCAGTGGCATCGCAGCTAGATAAAGGCTTCCTCTGTCTTAGAGAGAGAAAGATATAATGCCTTGTGGGCTCTCTCCTCCACCTACCAGCCAGATTTTCTCAGGATTTGTGCCATTTTTCATTTCTTCTATACCTCCCAATGGAAGAAATCATATGACAACTATTGCTTTTAAAACTGACTCCAAGGCTGTGTCTCTTGGAGGGGCTTCAGATGACCAGAGTTTTGAGTTTAGGATGTGCAGACCCAAATAAATAGGGGAGAAGGAATAGAGGGGAAGGAAAAAAGGAGGGGCGGGGGTGGGAAACAAAGAGCAGAAGGTAAGAAAATATCAAAGGGAAAAACAAGTAGGCAGAACTAGCAATCTATAAGCATCTGAAGATTGGACAGCCCTACTTTACTAGCTCTTGTTTTGTGCCACAGGAATGTGAAACATAGCTCACCACTTCTCTACCAGTGTCTGAACTATAAAAACTCACACTTGTTGCTTTTCTTTTTCTTCTTTATTTATTTGTATTCATTTCACCAGAGGTGAATTTTGCAGTACTTTAGTGATTTACTGTGAAGAGCTACTAAAGAAATTCAAAATAGATTTGGTTTCAATTTTTTAAAAAAGCCATCCACTTCTTCCCCTGCTCCAGGGCATCCCAATAATAGAATAGAGCTGCTTGAAGTGTCCTCCTCTAATAACAGGAGGATACGAAGAACTAGGAATAATTTGGTTAGGCAAATGATTTCATTGAATGAGTATGGATGGCATAGTGCTTTAGGAATCTTTAAACACCACTGATTGAATACTGCTTGGTGAATATTGCATCATGCCCAAGTCACCTGCCAAAACTAAACCATGATTCTATTTTAAAATATATCAAATAGTAAATACTTAGCTAAATATTTTGTCAGCTACCAAACAAAATTTGGATAATAAGAGATACATCATATAATGGACATGCAACTGAATGTAGACTTATCTGTATTTACTGTAACTCTATATAGTACATCAATGGGAAATATTTCAAAATTTATACTGCTCACTTTTCTTAAATGATACAGAAAAGATATCTGCTAGTTTCTAAAAAGCTTGTTGGCAGAGTTAAAACAAAGACTTGCACTCAACTCAGTGGCATTTCTATTTCTCTGTTAACACTTGTGTGCTCTTGTTGTGCTTTTCCTGTTAGGAAATGTTGTTTCTGTAAAAATCTCTCTTGGAATCTGTATATGCTCTATCACATATCTGATGTTTTTGACATCTTGGTGTGCAGCGGAAAGGTCCCAGCATTACATGCCACAAAGGCAGCTAGATTGTTTCCTTTCTCAGTGTGCTGCTTCTGTGAGATTTTAATGTCATGGGTACAATGACAGCAGCGGGCCTTTAACAACTTCTTGTGAAACCAACTACCCACTGAGATTGGTGAGGGATGAGATTTTTGGATGGTATTTCTGAATCACTTTTGCAAAGATTGTAATTGTATTGTATATTTGTAATGTATATATTAGAGATGTAAATTCCCATTCAATCAGTTAACTGGTTAAATGTCACCCCGGCCTGCCACTCCTGCCCTGTGGAGGGCTGCTGGCTCCTGCTCTGACCCACAACGTGGTGGACCCAGTGGGGCTGGAGCAGCCCTCCACCTGCAACAGGCTGCGGGCACAGTCTGCTCCCAGGCACTAGTTAACTGTTACCTAGTAAGCATCACCCACTAAGGGTGATGCTTACCACATACCCAGTTAGTATATATGTCCTGTGTGGTTGTCTTGTCCATGTGTTCTGTTACTGGTTTAGTTTAAAATTAGGGGAAACAAAATAGTATGTCTGGGTCTACAGTTATCCTTAACATTGTCATATTGCTGCTGTTCTTTTTCTGACACCAGTGTCATGCCTCTGTTGAATAGTAACAAGTATCTGGTCTGTGCAGGTCAGTTTCCTAACTTCGGATATCAGTGTCGTAGTGTCTTGGATATATACTAAAAGTGTGTCTACACTATGCAGTTTTTAGTGACAATGCTGTGTCAATACAGCCCCATTACTAAAAGTCAGCGTGTGTGAATGCTGTTTGTTGGCACTTTGGTCAGCAAAAGGCTTTCACCCCCAATAAGGGGGTTTCTCTTTGTTGGCCACAGCGCTCTTGCCAACAAAGAAGAGTTTATACTTTCACTTGCTGCAGCAAAACTATGTCGTTCATGGGGAGAGGGTTAAACACCCATAAGAAACAAACATTTTGTTGATCAAGTGCAAGTGTAAACTAGGGATGTAATAGTGTAGCTGATTAATCAATAAGCAAAAGCTTATAGGGTAATGCTATAGACTACATGCATTTCCTTCCCCTCACCATTGCCAGTAAATTTTTTACCAGGCCGGCCAGCAGCCCAATTCTGTCCTGAGCTAGGACCTACCCCTGCTGCAGCTCTGCATTTAAAGTATATTAGGAGCTGGGCGGGCAGGAAGGTCATCTCAGCTATGTCTCGCACTGTATTCTGGAGCTCATTCCCTTCCTAGACATGGGCTGCTGCCAGCCTGCATTGCTGTCTCTTTATCAGAGGCAGCAGTGCCGAGTGACAGGCAGCCAGTCGGCAAGGGGAGCTGTTTTTTAAACTTGCTCCCCTTGCAGACCAGTTCTCACCTCGCATCCCACAGTGCTGTTGCTGATACCGTGGCAGCACTACAGAGCAGCTGGGGACTCCTTGGGAATAAGGCCAGAGCTCACTGACTGACAGCCCCATCCCTGGGGACTATACAATAGTTGAGTAACTGATTAAAAATTCATGAGGTTAATCAACTATTCAATTAACCAATATTTAACATCCCTAGTGTAGACATAGCTTAAGTGTAACAACGGTTGTCAGACACATGCAGGGCAGCAATCTCATCTCAACACCAACATTAGATACTGTATTTTCCGGCGTATAGGGCGACTGGGCGTATAAAACGACCCCCTATCTTTTTAATTAAAAGATAGGGTTTCATCTTATACCCCAGCGCCCCTCCGCCTCCTTTGCTCCCGGTGTCCCTAGTCTGCTGGAGATGGTCCCCAGCAGACCAGAGGCACCGGGAGCAAAGCGGCAGCAGCAGTGGAGTCCCCTGCCTCTGAGGCTTTAGTCTAATCTCTGAGGGTACGTCTATACTACCACCCTAGTTCGAACTAGGGTGGTAATGTAGGCAACCAGAGCTGCAAATGAAGCCCGGGATTTGAATTTCCCGGGCTTCATTTGCATAAAGCTGGGTGCTGCCATTTTTAAATGTCCGCTAGTGCGGACTCCGTGCGGACTAGGTAGTTCACACTAGGCTTCCTAGTCCGAACTACCGTTACTCCTCATTCCACAAGGATGCCCCGCCTGGGATGCCCCCCCGCCGGCTTCCCCTGAGGCCTTGTCTATATTGAATTGCTAAAACCAAAAAATAAATGAAGAAAAATCTCATTCATTTGTTGCCTAATATAGGCCTGAATGCACTACTGTTAACTTGTACCAAGGTCTTCATAGATGGTAAGCAGCAGGCTGCTGAACTATTTTCACACCCACACTAGTAGTGTAAAATCAGCTTAACTTGGAATCTCTGTTTTCTTAGTGTGTTTATTTATCTTTAAAAATATTGTGCACCAGCTTATGGAAGTATGGGACTTTAACAGATTTGCATATTTGTGTACTCAAAACAAACTGCCCATTTGACACACCTCTGTGTCAATTTAAGCATCTAAATGCATTGCTTGGCATCTTTTTTGTCACCTGTTTGGAAATTGAACTCTTTGCATCCAGTTCTGTGCACACACAGATGCCTGCTCTTGTTCTGCCTATATAATAAAAATACTAGGCAAAACCAAATATATATAGCTAATTCTAAATACATTCTTGTATTTGTAGTACAGTGAAACATTCAAATGAATTAAAAAGCATGGATTTGTATTTTGTCTTGTTTTTTTCTTCTCCCTTTTTTTTCAGGAAACTTCATGGTGCTGTGGTCGACCTACAGAACATCTGTATTTAAATCAGTAACAAACCGCTTCATTATGAACTTGGCCTGTTCTGGGATATGTGCCAGTCTAGTCTGTGTGCCTTTTGATATAGTCCTTAGTGCCAGTCCACACTGCTGTTTGTGGATCTACACTATGCTCATCTGTAAAATTGTCAAATTCTTGCACAAAGTCTTCTGTTCAGTGACCATTCTTAGTTTTCCTGCCATTGCATTGGACAGGTAAGAAATCAAATTTACTAGCATTCTGTCCTTGATTTTCTTTATTTCCTTCCCTGCTCAATACAGAGATCTTAATGTTAAATATTTGTAATGGTACCTTGTGTCACTATATCAACTACATCCACCCCAGCTTTGGGCCCACAATTTCCTTTAATGCACATATGGATATAAAGATTAATCTCTGTTTTCTGGAACAGTTTCAGTTCAGTTTATCCTGATATCTACAGGCTTCACAGAGGGCTTTTAATATACCCATTTATCCTAAAGATGCCTCTATTCTCTCATTCCACCTATCATTAATCCTTGATTATTAATAAGACTTTGTCTGAACAAACTTCTTGGATACTTTTCCATTAACTTGCTCACTAAGTCATCAATGCTTTGTGATCACACACATATTGAGGCAGATCTCTATTTACAGGGTAAAGTACAGTTTCACATAAGTTGTGTGAGAAAAATACAGGTTTTGGGTTCAAGACTACTAAATTAGTATTTATATTATCATGGTACAGGTGCCCTAATCATAGACCAGGAACCATTGTACTAGGCACTGTACAAATATAAAACAAAATGATGGTCCCTGATTCAAGGAGCCTACAATCTTAATCAACCAGGAATATCTTGAATGGTGAATGGAGTACAATGCACAACCAGAGTGAACAGGGTGATGGCAGCAAACATCAAGTTATTTCCATGGTTTTCTCACTTTGTTTAGGATGGGTAGAAAAAAGATGGGAGAAGATAAAGTACATGGAAGGAAAAGGGAAGGGTGAGGGGACACTGAAGGCAAGGCAAGAGTAAGAAGGGTAGGTTTGGAGCAGGCTTGGGCAAAATACGGCCCGCAGGCCAAATCCAGTCTACCAAGCCACCAGATCCGGCCCGCATAGGGCTCCGTTTCTCTTTTGAAACTGGAAGGGAGGGAGGAAGTTTTAGGAGCTGCCCCCCCCCAGCACTTTCCCATTGGTCTTTTTCTGGCAGAAACCAAACAATGGGAGCTGCTTGTTAGAATAACAGGCAGCTAAGAAGAACCACGCCCCCTCTCCTGGGCTCAGTTATTCATGAAGCACATGACCAGGCAAGCACACTGTCTGGCTGGGAAACATTTTAAGCTCTGCAGGCAGGCTAGTTTAGCAGCTGACAAGTACATCTCTTGCCCACAGCCTGCTTCTGGCACTCCAGCCCTTTCCTGCTCCAACTCTCTGCCCCTTCACTCAACATACCCAAACCCTCAGTCCCCCTATTACACCCATACCCCGTCCCAGATCTGGCACCCCAATCTCCTGCCCCAGATCACATCCCAAACCCCTGTCCTCCAGTCCCCTGCCCTACATCACAACTGCCTGCTTCATCCCAATTCCCTCCCAGACTGCAGTGTCCCTCCTGCACCCCAGTACCTTACACCAAGCTCCCTTCTGCACCCAACCTCCATTCCAGACCCCGCATCTCCATTAATATCATGGTCCCCATCAAAAATTATTGCCCACCCCTGGTTTGGAGTGAAACTGAAGTGAAGAGACTGTGAAAGAAAGGGACGGTTGGAACAAACAACCAATCAGCACAAGACAAAGAATATCTAGTAAACATTACGGAAAGTTCTCCAAAGGACTAACAGTCCTTGCTTTGGCTACCTTTCCCCTACCTTCTCCTGGCTGGAGACTCTGACTGGCTCCTTTTGGCAGTTTTCTGCCATGCCTCACAGCAGGCACAGTGGAGGCAGCCTGTGGTTTCTAGTGCCCCCTGAGTCCCTACCCGCTGTTTCCCTGCACCAATCTGGGCCCAGCAGGGTAATGGACCATAACAAAAATATGTGCATAAGTTAATATTAATATTAGGCAAGTTGATCACATGATTTAAGATACATGGTTGCTAAATCTGTGAAAGGAAAACAGACTGTCTATTAAAAAAACCCAGTGATGATACAAGTAAATTGCATCATTAATGACAAATTGTTAACTAACATGAAATATTTGTGCTAGTTGCAAAAATCATCCCCTATATTTTATATCACCAGAATGCTGTTATTCATAATATGGCAATTGTGTGTCACTTCTATGAGAAACCATGTTCCCAACTCTCATAAAATTATTGATTCACCAGTGTTAAATCAGGTATGAATTTGGCCCAATATCTTTTGATTAATATTGGGCAAAATATGCAATAGTACAGCTGTGCCTGAAGTGTGTCTTTAGCTTTCATTATAACCACTGTATTTACTGGTCTTTATAATTTGACTCTTCCTTTCCAATCTGGTGCCTGATGGGAGAAAAAGAGAATTATCCCTTCATGTGTTGAGGATCTAATACTTCCTAACATTTCAGACATGATCAAGGAGGAGATTTGTGTTCCATCCAATGCAAAATCAATGCATGAGTCCAAGAAAAAAAGAATTTTCAAATGGGGAAAAGTGATTGGCCTATAACTGTTACAGTCCTAGTGAGCATCAAGATCAGTAATCATAGGGACCAAACCTGCAGGGCTTCTGCAAACAGAGCTCTTACTGACTTTTGAGTAGGGCTACAGCAAGCTGCTCACACAGGTCTTGCAGGCTTGGGTGCATGATTTGTATGCATATTGTTATAGGATCCATTCTATATTCTTTGTAATTATAATTTGCTCCTTTGGGTTTCATTAAAATGTTCACAAATTGAGCTAAACTGGCTGAGTTTCAAGACTGATTAATGGTGTGGGTGGAAATCACTAGGAACTCATTTAATTTCTCCTTTGAGTTTTTGATATTGTTCGAACTCAGAGCTCAAAATGAAACTCTGGATGAGAACTCACCTAAACTAATTAAAGAATGAGCTCTTTGAACCAAATTGTTTTGAACAACTCTAACTGATTAGACATATTTCTTCTTTACTATTCACAAATTTAAAATAGTGTTATTTAAACCCATTTTCTCAACTCTTGGTTTGTTCTAGTTTGAAGAGAAGCCGAAAAAAAAATGTACTTTTCTCTTTAAAAAGAAAGAAGTTGGGGGCTAATTTTTTTAAAATCTTGTTTTTGTTTGTAATGCCTTGTGCTTGGGGTGGGATTAAAACATAATGAGGCCCAAAGTTATGTCAACTTTAACAGAAAGAACAAAAAATAGAAATAATAAAGACTTATATTTGCATATATACATAACTAAAATATAGTAATTTTTGGGGGGTTAGAGGCCCCTCATAATCTGAGGCCCCAACCCTCATCTTATTTAGCTTTGTGCTTAAACCCAGCATTGCTTCATTAAATACTTGGATTTCTGGTGAGATACTGTATGGACAGTTTACAATGTCCCTTGCATATACATAACTATTGAATCCAGTTAAAGTGATCTCCATGGAAAGAGGCTTCTGTTCAGGGTTGGTCTGTTATCAGCAATTTCAGCTTCTTACAGGATTTCAAGCAGTAAAAGCCACAGGGCATATATGTGGTATCATGAGATGCCTTCCAAGTCATGTACTTTTATAGTTATGAACTGGCTGAGACTTAAAGTGAAGCTATTGTTCATCTCTGACATCTGCAATGAAGAGTATATGCGGTTTTGAATGGGCATCTTTTGAGATCAGAAATACTCAAGACTCATACTTAAGAATCAGTATCTCAAGCAATATGTGCTATACAGCTATCTTTGACCATATAAGTAATAGACACCATGGTCCTCAGCTGAAAACTGCATACTATGTGAGCTTCATTGATAATGCTCATGTCCATGAGCATTAAAAAGCACAAGTCTCTACAACTTGACAAGGAGAATTCCTATTCCTTATGATTAGAAATAAACCACCTAAAGGACAATAACAGCACAAATACATGAATGAATCCTTAATTTTAAAAAGCTCATACATCCAAATATTCCTGGATTTTGCAACACTTAGAGATATCATGCTTGCTTGCCTAGGGTAGGTGATTTACCACAGCCAAAACTGTGTATATGACAAGCCTCTCACTTTTTAAAATTGTGTGTCACATGACATCAAATACTACAGCCATGCTCCAATCAGAGCTGCCAGGTATATTGTATTACTGCTCACAATTACATTTTGTTTAAAAATCACATCAGAAGATATTTAGGAGACTGTTATGGTGCATTAGGCTACTGTTCTAGCAAAATTTATCCACACTTATTGCCCTCCATACACAATATTGGGATGCTTCAGATATTATTAAAAAAACAAGGAGTTCTCTGCCACCTTAAAGAATAACAAATTTATTTGGGCATAAGCTTTTATACAATTACCCCTCTCAAACTTGGTTTTTGGAGGGTACTATATGAGCTAATCTATCATAGGACATCTTTCAGATTAACATTGAGATTCTGGCATTTTGAGTGAACATACATGTGCTTCAATCAATAATATTCTTTTTACAGAAAACAACCAGCACAATGTGCATGGAGGTAAGAAAACCATGAGTGAGACACTTGGACGTTTCAAGATCAGTATATTTTTCATTAACATAAATCCAAACAAAACGGGAATATAATCCCTGATATGTAGATTATTAGCCAATCAATAATAATGTGCTTCCCAGGAGTGGGTCTTCACTCCTGTTTTAACTTTTAAAGCCAGACTCTTTGTTTAAAAAAACCCAGAAACTGTTAGGTGTCTGAATATGATGTGGGTTGCCAAATGACTATCAAAAACATTAACCTCATGTCATTCCTTCAAGCCATTATACTGTATGATCCCAAACAATTGATACATTCTCTATATCCACATCTCTTTAAACTGTCCTTGTTTTTTTGGCAGATATTACTCAGTTTTATATCCTTTGGAAAGAAAGATATCTGATGCGAAGTCTCGAGACCTGGTTATCTACATCTGGGCCCACGCTGTGGTAGCTAGCATTCCAGTATTTGCTATGACCAACGTGTCTGATATTTATGCCATATCAACCTGCACAGTATCCTGGAGCTACTCCCTAGGCCACTTGGTGTATGTCATTATTTATAACATCACCACTGTTATAGTACCAGTGGCTGTGGTGTTTTTCTTCATGATTCTTATCCGCAGAGCACTGAGTGCTAGCCAGAAGAAGAAAGTCATCATAGCTGCCTTAAGAACCCCTCAGAACACTATTTCTATTCCCTATGCCTCCCAGAGAGAAGCTGAGCTTCATGCTATGCTGCTGTCCATGGTTATAATCTTTATTTTCTGCAGCATCCCCTATGTGACACTGGTGATATACCGCACCATACTGAACATACCAGATATTTCAGTCTTCTTGCTCCTCACTGCCATCTGGTTGCCTAAAGTCTCCCTGCTAGCCAATCCTTTGCTCTTTTTGACTGTAAACAAATCTGTACGAAAGTACTTACTAGGGACAATATTGCAACTACACCGGAGGTATAGCAGGAGGAACATTATCAGCTCTGGGAATGTTGTAGAAGCCAGCTTGGAGCCCCATGTCCGTTCTGGTAGCCAGCTTCTGGAGATGTTTCACATTGGACAGCAGCAAATATTCAAGCCCACAGAGGATGATGAAGAGAATGAAACAAAATCCATTGGTTCTGGTGAGTTTCAGCAGAAGGAAATCCCTACCACCAGTTTAGAGATAGAACAGACAACAGTTCAGAAATGTCTACCACACACTGTTGCAGACTCTGCTGCTCAAGTGGCCCCAGCTATGGCCACAGAAGCAGATGTGGTCAATGACAAATATTCCATACAGTTCGGCTTTGGGCCTTTTGAGTTGCCTCCACAGTGGCTCTCAGAAAATCGCAACAGTAAGAAGCGACTGCTGCCCCCTTTGGGGAATACTCCTGAAGAGCTCATCCAGACAAAGCAGCCCAAATGTAAATCAGAAAAAAAAAT